CTATTCCGATGCTCAGTGTTTTGACTACAGATTAATAAATAATTTTGTCTTTTTCATTCAGTAAATGTGGAACTTAACATTTGAAACAAAGGTATCGTATTTTGTTAGCCTTCTTCTAATCTTTTCACAGATCATCATTTATGGATATATAAAAAAAAATATTTATTATTTATTGTGGTGTTTTCTTTATTGAAAATTCTATCCAACCCCTCCTAATTCCATATCCTTCCTCTCCTGGTGGAAGATCCCTCATCACCTTCTCGTGGTTTCCACTGAACAATGGTGTGAAATTGTTATATTCTGAGAAAATAACAATAAATTTCATACCACTGACCAAGAGTGAGGATAATTTTTCTCCATTTTTATTCACAAGTTTGAATTACTGCCTTTTTTCGCGGTCTCCCCCATTTATTTGATTTTCCGCGCGTTAATTACGCATTGAATCGACAATACTTTTCGTATCTTTAAACTTCTCTCTTAGTTATTTGTCTTTTTTTGTTAAGTAAGATAAGTCGCGAGACAAAAAAAAATAAATCACCCTGTAAATGGCTAATCATTAATCGAATTACCATCTGATATAGTTATTAAACTATATAAAGATTGATGATTAGCCATTTACGAAAAAAAATTAGAATGAGTTTGGTAAAAAAAAAAAAGAATAATGGCTGCGATCGAACATAAGTCGTCCGCGTGCCAGCCAAGCACGTTGCCAATTAAGCAACGCGCTCATTTGTAAAGTTATAGTTTTATTAGGAGTATATATTCTTTATTTTGATAAATCCTTAAGGAAGTCAACCTTAAGGAAGGGCATTTTAATTTCCGAAAGATTTGGTCTCCCCCTTCCGTTCGTTCTCCAGTCGCTTAAATTTGAGCTAAAACAATGGAAAATAAAAAACATTTTCATAGCGCAGAGAATAAGATTCACCCCGTTGACTGGTCCCTCTGACAGCGGGACTGCTAGTGAGGCAATTGCCGAATCGGCTGACGGGCAGGCACCCCAGCATCGCGTGTGGCGCCCTCCCTCTTACGGGGTCAGCTACTACGATGCCGCCGGGGTCTCTCAAACCCCCAGAACTGAGCCTCTACTTTAGTCAATCCTCTTGGACCACCACCACCGGGGGTGTAATAAAATTGTCAGGTAGCGAAAAGGTCCTCCGACACAGGGAGCTCTTAGGTAACATGAATCCTCAGATAAGTTGCGGGATACGAGGGTTTGGTAGATAACCCCGCGATGTCTAGCTGAATTAGTAGCGTCAAGGGCATAGGTAGCTCTGCGAGGGGTTCAACAACGGTTCTAGGTAGCGAAGGGTTTTCCCTGGCGTAGGGAGCCCTTAGGTAACGTGTTTCCCCGGTTAGGTAGCACAATCCTCACCGATTATTTAAATCAATAGAGTCCGCAGGGTAGATAGCCGTTCAGGTAGCGAATCAAAATATTGAGGTAGCGAAGGGGTTTCCCTGGTGTAGGGAGTGGACAAGTAGTATATTCCCCTACTTAGGTAGCACAATTTTGGTTTTTGGTAGCGAAGCCCTCATCCCCTAGCTAAATCAGCAGCAATGTTGGGGTGGATAGCCGTAACGAAGTTTCCCCGTTCGATTACTGAGGGATTAATTCGCGAGTGGACGGGTTTTAACGGTATGGACTGTTAATTATTAATTAACCAACTGATACTTCGCAACCGAATTACTTAATTAAGTACCCAATGGCGTCTCCGGGCCTGCCAATAACTAATCGGACTAATTGGCTAATTAATTGCGCAAATATATAAGATTAATCATAATTCGCGCGAGGTCACATGCTAATTGTTTGGATTCCAACTATTAAAATTTATTAACTAAGAGATAACCTCCCCATGCCCGACCAGAATCCACGAGTCTTGGGGAGCATTATTGCGTAACCCAGAGGAAATTATCCAGCCTCACGAAGATAGCAGAGAATTTTTAATAGGAAGGTAACCGAAAATTTAATAAAATGGTAGCAAGAAATTTTTAATCGAACGGGGATAAAATAAACCAGGTAAAGGTAGCGATCTATTATAAGGTATCTGGGTCTTTTCCTGAGCCCTTCCATAAGCCCGGAAAACCCACGAGGCTAGGTAGCATTTTTATGCGGTTTTATGTGAAGAGCGAAAAATAGGTAGTGGTAGATAGCATGGGAGAGGGGTACTCCGAGCCTCGTGAATCCTCTCATTCCCGAAATTTCACCTTCCTGTGGCGAAATTAGGTCTTAAACACTTGCTGAAATAATTAGGTAGCTAAAAGAGAGTATTACAGAGCATTTTAAGCCGTTGGGGGAGGCTTATTGCCTTTCTCAACCGCGAGTTTTTCGTATGGCGTCATATCGCGAGATAGCGATGCCATTTGCAATTGTTCGTGTTCGCGAGGCGCAATTTCCCGAAAATCACACTTCCCACACTCATTTGACTGCATTTATTCCACTGGTACTTACCATCGTGCCAACGGAGTCCCAGGAACGAGTTGATATAATACAGGTAGCTTTTTATGCGGGAACTGTCGCGTGGTTAAGGTACACGGGATACCTCCACAAACGTGTCTATCGTAACGGCCCGGGGTGAACTACTATCCGCCGGTCGCGTGGTTCCGTTCCAACCTGTTGCTCGAAGTGGGGGCGACCCTTCTCGAGTGCACCCGTCGGTCGCGACGCGAGTAGCTAGATACGGAGTTAGCCTTGATCTCTAGTCCCCCTAGCTCGCGACATGTCAACAAGTCAAATTTGAAAGGGGGTTTCCATCTTATTATGTACCCCCACCCACTATTGATAGTTATTTTTATTATTTACCTCTGTTTTTGTGTTCTATTAGTATTAATTACCTTATCCGCATTTTTAAGCGTAACGGAATTTTTCTAAGGGGTTTTCTAAGAGAGATTTTTGGGGGAGTGGACTTTGACCCCCGTCTACGCCTATAATCAGGTAGCGAATCGGGTACGAGCCCTCTCCGGAGAGGGATTGGGGGCCTTCTAACTAAGCTAATCCTAATTCTGCGACAACTGTATTTAAACCTAAACTCTCGAACTGTAAAGCCCTGGCTATCCACATAAGCGAGGGGCTATTTTCGCTCGTGTGGCCTTCCACCCGTACTAAATTGAAGAGCACCCCTAGCCTCTCATAACTAAGGGAGTGCAGGTATCCCACCTAACCTATGGGTTCTCCTACCAGACTAACATAAAACGATTTTTCAGGGACCACCGGGAGCACAGTAAGTTGGGCATTTTTTCTCGATAATCTCTGGACCCTTGACCCAAGTACCCGTAGTATAATCTCAGCTAGAAACGGGGCAATTTTTAAGGGAAATGGACATATTTTCTTATCTCGAACTCTAACCGTGTTGTGCAATAATTTATCCGGATCGTAATGATTTAATTGTTGTATTGATTTATTACTGTGTTTTATTAGTTTTTTTTTTTGCGCAGCGAGCCTGGAGGAAATCCGTGAACGTAGCCGGTTGCTGCCTCAGGGGGGGAGGGTTAGGTAGCAGGTAGCTAGTTGAGCGGAGATTATTTAGGTAGTTTTTCCCGAATTTTCGTTAGGTAGCACTTCCCGAATTTTCGTTAGGTAGCAGGTTGCTTATACAGGAGGGGTTCGGGACCTGTCTTAGCGCGGTTTTCTCAGTTCCCTCTCGCTCTTAGCCCTACCAATTACCCTCTAGGACAATAGGTGACGCATTCCCCTGCACTTTCGTCACAAATTTGACCGCAACCATCACCATTCCAAATCGGCAATGTAGACCTCGCTATTACCGAAAGAGGATCAATCAGATCCGACATTATCCTGCCCCGCAGCGTCACCCCACCCGGCACACCTCTCAGATCTCGATGTCCAGAACCGGTATAGTTTATTTACTCATGAGTTAGTGGAATTTCCGATTGTAAAATCTCTACGGGATCTACAGTCTGGCTGAGAGGGTCACCACCCCTACGGACGGGATCCGTAAGATATTTCGGCTCACTTTTAAAGTCGGAATGTCACGGGGGGCGTTCCCGACCGTCACCCACTGAATTGCCGGCTGTGTCTATGGCGTAATGTGTTTCAGCTTTTCGGTCACGTTCACGGATGGTCCGGGATCCAACCGAGTGAGACTATTAATTTTCGATTGGCGAGTGACAATAATCCCGTTCGACCATCGGATTGAATGGCGTGTTTCCTCCTTGACTTGTTGGCGAGTGTTTCTCAGCCGGAATTCAACTGAAAACCACGGCTGATCGGGTCTGAGGACGTAATAGTCCCATCGGGTTGCCCCTATGGATATTTCGGGTTATTTTTCGCGAAAATAATTCCCATATCCTTATTTTGAAATCCCATTTACGAAAAACGAAAATACGCAGGTTCGTAGTGTCACGTAGTGACAAGCAGTTTCAGATTTTTCATTAGATTTAAGGTCAGAGTAGCTGCTGTGTCAACTAAAAAAACAGCTCGCATTCGGCAACCTTTGCGGTAGCGATTTTTATTTTCTTTTTGTGTTTTGCAAGAAGGCAATGCGGAAGAAGGGCAAGGTGACGGGCATTTTTGCTCGGTTAGAAAATGTCACATTACACTCTTCAACAGAATCGTATCTTTGCGATATCTATAGGGACGTAACAGCTCTTCCCTTTCATCTCAATAATTGGTGCTAGCTGTGCTTCTCTAATCACGATGAACAGGCACACAGAACTTTCAAAGAAATTGTTTAGAGCAGCCCCCAAATCATTCGTATAGTCTACCTCTTGGTTAACGCATCTCAACTTTCCTATTCTAAAAGGGACACGCTTGACACAATCGATTATCTCGAAAATCTCGAAATAGTGAAGCCCCGATTCCTTATTGGTTCATATAAATTGCCGCGAGTTTACACATGCATACAATTCGAATCTCTTCCTGTAATTGGTCGGATGCTTATGCCATCTAGCGGGTGATTTGATAACACAAGTGGCAGACCCGGTGGCCATTTGCTACCACATGTCTTTTCGCGGGCGGCATCACAGAGAATAGGTTGTATGAAATCAGTGCAAATTTGTTGAAGAAAAATCCGGGTTCAAAATGTCCAAAAAAAGCCATCCATTCACCTCGACTGAAGAAATCACGATTTTGAACCTGGAGACACAGCTGTGTGAGTATTTTTTTTATTTTTAATAATTATATAAAGAGTTTTCTCGATGCACCTGATATAACCTCTCAAATCACGTGGTGATAGATTTCTCATTTCTTTATTCATAAATTCGGTGTTATTATTTCATTATTATCATTTGATTTTTTTTTCGTTTTATATAGCGTACTATGTGGATATGTAGATAAAATTGATGGCATGAAAGTAGTGAGCAACGGAAAAAAAACACTAATGAAGTTCATTATAAATAAAGGAAATGGGGCAAGGATTCGCGTGCTGATGTGGGACAATGTCGCCAAAACCAATTCACCGAAGATTTGTCATCATCAGGTATTCATATTTCTCTTACTATTACAGTGAGAAAAAAAATTTCATATAAAATACAGCGGAAGCAGTGTCTCGGGACATTTTCTTTTTTAACTGAAGCGATTTTCTCAATGCCCAGGAATACTCAGTAATTTATTTTTTATTTCAGAAATAGACAAACTAGCTGAGTAATTAATTAACATCAGTACGCAAGGTATCTGTCCATCAGGTTTTTCGCTAACAAAGTAAAGATACACAAATGAAAACCAAATTAATCATGCTTTATTTTTGAATTTCCAATAATATTGGAACTGATTGTTGTCATCACTATTTTAAGAGAAAGTGGCTAGACGAGTTAACCTTTTCTGTGAAAATTTTCTGTCATTAAATGGTTTTTATATGAGCGTTACAAGGATTTCAATAGAGAAGAACAGATATATGCATCCAATAAGATCTATTCTATAGAAATTACCATATTTTTCTCTCAGTGTATCGGTGTAATAATTAGCATTTTGATTGATTGATGGAAATAGTAAAAGAAGCCAAAAAATTGAAAAAAAAAGAGGAAAAGACCTATGACATTAACTTCAAAACAGATTAAAAAATTATCAAAAATTCGTCATTGAAACTGAGTTTTCATCTCCATATTCAAACACTTTTTTTATTGCACTGATTTTTTTTTCTTTTAGAAAATGTACATCACCATGGGCAGCATTAGTCAGGCCAATGCATTCTATCAAACAAACGAGGATGTTGTTCCTGTAGAATTTAATGTACAGCCTGCCAGCATTATCGAATTTCTGGGAATACTTGAAGGAGCTGGAATTGTCATTCCCGAAAACTATCCAGAAGTGGGAATGGAAACTCTACTTTGTCGCCAAGAAGCACCAGTATCAGTCATTGGTTTCATAAGGAGTCCATTCGTTGAAGTGGTGCATTTCTCATCTTCTCACGGAGGAGGATGCATTGTTAATGGAAAACATAGATTGGCAATTCAAATTGCCATTTTCAAGCCGGAAAAGGAATTAAAGATGGGTACGTGCGTCAAGGTCATGGGGAGACTGAAGTGTCGAATTATCAAGAGCAATAAGGGCTTTCCGGAGTACTTCTTCGAAGTCCCAAACATGGATCATATCATTGTCATCGAGGGCAAAATTGCCACGGAGGAAGAGATGTCATCGGCAGTCATTTCAGCAACCTCTAAGCGGTACTCCACGGGAGAGTTACCAGACCCAAAACGTCGCCTCGATTCTCAGGAGACAAATTATGATCAGGAAGATTCTGCGATGGGTAACTGAAGATTTTTACAAATCTTCTATTAGTGAAGGGCATAGAAATAAAGAATGAAGGAAGGTTACTATCAGTATTCAAACTGAGAAAAAATATTACTGCATAGTCGTTTGGTATTTTTTCCAGAGTCTATTTGTTGCTGTGAACTTTTTTAATTAAAAATAGTGAATAATTCAAAAATTATTATCATTAATAAATTGTTAACTTCATTAAAAATCTTAAATCGGGACTAGAAGAATTGCATTAACATCAAGACAATAAGATAGAATCGTAAATAATTCAAAGTTTGTAAAAGTTTGTTTGATTACTTAAAGATTCGTAATATATCGAGTTAATTTCATAAGAACAAATTCTTAATAGTGATGATCAGCAGTGCCTTAATTTTATTACGACGAAATAAAAACATCAAATTGCACCACTTTCAGAAAAACATAACAAAGACTACAATCGTAACAAAATTTTGAAGTTTAAATTTGACATGGTGTTGTTAACGTTATGTGAAAAATAAGAAAAAGAGACAAGACTCATTAGCATTGCTGTGTCTATTACTACAGAGACTTAGTACTTCAGCTGAGATTTTACGACTAATTTACTATTCGATTCTTACATTTTTATCATTGACAGATAATTGCTGCATTCTTCTACTTTATCGTACTCATTCATAATTATTCTAATCAAAGTTCAAAGCATGCATACAAGTGAATTAAGTAACGTTTATCGAAGGATAATATCTCCGTAAACGTAATATTCTATATTCTTTCACTTCTGCATGAGATAACCCATTTTTTTCAAGTTTTGTTCAATCGAAATTATCAGAATTTTATTCAATCTAAGAATATATCACATAATGGACCGTTGAATAGAGACCTTTGTTAAATTTAAAACAAAAAAAAAATTTTAACCCTTAAATATAATTCATTAATTTCAAGACAAGGTAATAACTAAGTTCGTAAATAATTAAAAGTTTAAATATGATACGAATCAATCTTTTTTATAAAAGTCGTGATATAGAGTTAATTTTTTATAAATCTCGAATAGTAAAGACTAAAATCGTATCGATTCCAATAAAACAATACAAAGGCTATGATATAAGTATTAACTATTTAATAGAATTAAATTGGTAAATTTGAAACAACAGAGCAAAGACTAAAGTCGTTAATAACTTTTTCAAGTTCAATAAGTTTAAAAGGATAATAAAAATAGATTAGACACATGAAAAAAGTCAATGGAAAAATCTAGCGATTTCACAAAGAATTTCTATTTGGATTCTACAGAATTCTATAAAAAAGTTGTTCTGTTTTTACAGAATTTCTATTGGAGATGAGGAATAGAATTGTCAATGGATTTTTTTCAATAGAAATTCGTGCACATAAATCTTCCAATTTTTTTCGTTATAGTTTAATTCGTTTTTAGAAATAAAAATCCAAGAAAAAAAATGGAAAATTTATGCATAAAAATTTTTCTAGAAACAAACCCTATTGTCGTTTCTATTGAATATGAAAAAAAAACATAAATTTTCCATAAAATTTTAATAGATTCTGTAAAGTCCAAATGGAAATGTAATGGAAATTTAATACAATTTTGTTATCAATGTAACGATGATATTTATTATAAGAAAGACGTCCAGTAGCTCAAGAGATATTCTATTCATAATGTGATATTCGATTCGTAGATTTATGTCGTTGACTGAGGTAATAAGATGATTACACATTTTCATTTAATCGTACCGGTTCATAATATACTGTATGGATATCGTGTTGTATTCTTGGTGGAAATACTTTATAAATTTTAATTCGGAAAAATTAAAGAAGCGAGGTACTGGTTATTGTTGGTTTATTAATATGTTCAGGCTTAAAAGTTTGGGAGATGTTGCACCTTTCAAAAGAGATTTTTAACTGAACTTATGGAATGTTTCTAAGGACGTGCAGGTATGGAAAAATGCCAGGATTTAAGGAGTGGGGGTGTTTGGAAATTAACACATGTTTGGAGGGAAAGGAAAGGTCTGTGCAATTACTTCGGAGGGCTTAAATGACGGTCGCACCTCAATTGCTTTATTGCAGTTTTCGGGAAATCTTGGGATATTTGGGCTTGGAGAAGGATTAGGAGTTTTATGGTAAAGCCTGGGTAAATGGGACATTTTATAACTCAAGGGTAGAGGATACTGTGGGTATGCAACAATCGCAGGATTCCTCCATGGTTGCAAGCCGGCAGTATGCGTTGAGTTAAAAATAATATTGTATTGTTACAGAAGAATTTATTTAAGAATGTACTGTTGTATACTATATAGTGCTTAATGATGATGTAACCTGTTCCCTTCACGCATTATTAAAAAAAAATAAAAATGTTGCATTTCTCCCTGATTGTATTTTTAATCTTTTGTCATGTCTGTTTCCAGTCTAAGAATTCATATTTGTATGTTTTTGATTTTTTAATGAATACTTTCGTATGAATACTGGAACTAAAAAACTTATACCTCAACGGTCGCTCATGAGAACTGGGGCCTGTTCGCATGAAGCGACATGGAATGAACAAATTAATAATTGAGTCGGTATGATTAATTGAGTAATAATCAACTCTTCATATAAAACAATTGGACTATTCAGATCGATTAATAGAGGTTTCTAAGTCAATGATAGACAAAAATTATTGTTTTTACAATATTAAATTTGGAATGAATTTTTCATTTTTTTAAAATTCCAATAAAAATTTTAATATTGTCTATCAAACTATAATTTTTCTCTATCATTAACTCACAATCCTTTATCAATCGATCTAAATATTTTCATTGTTTAATTAATTAATATGAATTGACTATTTCTGATGGCTAAAGTTATTTTCAACTGCGTGGTGAACGCATGCCCGAAACGTGCTTTGACTGTGTACTGTGGTGTAACTGATTAATTTATTTAGAAAAAAAAAGTTAATCTCCTGAAAAGAGTGAAACATTATATTTAAATGGAATGAATCAACAAATTCTAACTGAAGTCTCCGGTTTTCTTCAGCCTGCATCCCATAATAGTCACTGAGAATTTCCTCTACTATCGTACTCAAGTGTACATGAAAATTTACTGTAAGTAAAATTATATGCATTTTCTCCAATGATAAGAATAAATTCCATCAATTGGAATGTACTTTTTTCTAGAATCCCTTTTCTTTCTAATAAATAAAATTCCATGTTTGTCTAAAAAAATAAGTTACGTACTCTTAACCTCAAATCGCACAGCTCACGCTTATTTCGTTGCATTAAAAGCAAAGAGAGGCAGGTATAAAAAAGGGTAGTGTTCAACGTGAAAAGGGATTTTAAAATCTTCATTACCCTTCACTTATCTATTTTTCAACTTTTTTTCATTTTGTGATTTTTCAAAAATTGGAAAATAACACCAAGATTAGAAAACAAATGGGCGTATGTGCCCACAGGACGGCTCTTTCATGGTTCAAATTGGTCCTTACGTCTATAAATTCGCAAAATTGTTCAACAAATTGGGAAAAAAATGTCTCACGAATATATACTCAATATATTGCGAATCAACTCAAAAGTCGAGATTTATGGGTCTCTCGGAACCGTTGTTTTTTCAACGGTTCCTTTTGTGTTAACAAATTCAACAATTATTAAAGCAATTCGGGAAAAATTGTCTCGCGAATATATACTCAAACGATTGGGAATCAGCTAAAACGTCGAGATTTACTGGTCCCTCGGAACCTTTTTTTTTCGACGGTTCTATTTTTGTTAACTTATTCAAAAATGATTAAACAAATCCGGAAAAAATTGTCTCGCAAATGTATATTCAAACGATTGGGAATCGTCTGAAACGTCGACAATTGTTGGTCCCACGGAACTTTTTTCTTTCGACGGTTCCTTTTTTTAACAAATTCGAAAAATTGTTAAGCAAGATGGGGAAAAAATGTCTCGCATATGTATACTCTAACGATTTAGAGTCCCTTGAAACGTCGAGAGTTACAAGTTCCTCGGGACTTTTTTTTAACACATTCAGTTCTGTTAACAAATTCGCCATTTGTTCAACAAATTACTAAAAAAACGTTCTGTAAATATATACTCAAATGATTGAGAATTATTTAAGGCGTCGGGATTTATTGGTCCTCTGGAACCATTGTTTTAACGGGTTCATTTTAGTTAACAAATTCGAACAATATTAAACAAATCGGTAAAAAATCGTCGCACAAATGTATATTCAAACGACTGAGAATCGCGTAAAACATGGAGATTTATTGGTCCCTCAGAACATTTTTTTTAACGGATTCATTTTTGTCAACAAATTCCACATTTGTTTAACAAATTGGAACTCATTTTTATGTTCATGAAATCGTCTGCTTTAATATTAATCAAAACAAAACCGAAATAAATTGTAATTTGATTGCAGAAAATTTTTTGGAGTGGTGAGATCACTGGACGATCGTCTAATCGACCTCAAGGTCCGGTGACGAATTGTTACGCCAATTGTAGATAATCAATGTGAGTACATGGTTGTTTTTTGTACTTTCGACAGTCAAATACTAAAAAAGTATTCTCATTGAATCTCTTCATTTCCAGATAGTTTGGAGTATTTCACGAAGGAATTACTGGCATCAGGAACGTCTCTCAGGCTGCAGTGAGAAACTAAATGAGTAAAGATCTTCGCTGAAGTACAAGAACGAAGTATTTCCAGAAAGTTCAGTTATTTTGATTCGCACATTTACAACTTACAAAGAAAAAAATACAAAAACAGATACAAGAGCTCAAACAAAGACTCAGATTCGAACTCAAGAACTTAAACACAAAGACTCAGATTCGAACCCAACAACTTGAACACAAAAACTCAGATTCGACAAGAACTCAGATCCAACAAGAACTCAGATTTAACAAGAACTCAGATGCAACAAGAAGTCAGATTTAACAAGAACGCAGATGCAACAAGAACTCAGATTCAATAGGAACACAAACATCAGCGATCTACATAAGGCAGTCACATTAGTTAACAGTAATTGTCAATAATAGATAATAACATCAGAGAACAGAGAAATTTGAATTGTATATGTTTTGAAGTATTCGAGCTGAACGGACAAATAAAAATTCTTCTACTTCCGACAATTTTTTGTTTCAATTATTCCCATTACCTATACTATTGATTAATTAAATTTCATCTAACAGTCGATTGATCTAATAAATCCATTTAACCTATAGGAAACGGTAATTTCTCATATCAATTAGATACATTCATTTTATATCTACCGCTCAATCAATAATATGCCCAGACGAAAAATTCAACGAACACCAGAAGAAAATGCAGAGTTGGTAAGAGCAAAACGTGAAAAAAGGACAGCTCAGCAGAAATTACGCCGACAGAAACGTCGAGATGATCAAATTGTAAACTTGAGAAATTTCACAATTGAGTTAGATTCTCCTCAACAGCACTCAGCACAGCAGCCTACTATGAATGATTTAGCCGTTTTTTCAGAATGCATCCCATTACAAACATCGCGTGTATCGACTACGTCAGGAATTGTCAATATAAATAATCCAGAAGCAGGAACACAACGAAGTGAAGTTCTTCACATTCAATCACTCTCTAATGTTCGCGAACATTACATCGGACCCATGGATATGGTTTGTTGCCATTGCAAAGCGAAACATTTTGCATTCGACCGAACGCCAGGCAAGAAAGATTCATTTCAAAGTTGTTGCAATCATGGAGCAGTAGTATTAGAACCTCTACCTGAACCTCCATTAATTTTACGCGAATTGTTCGATGGCCACCATGAACAATCCAATCATTTCCTGCAGCGTATACGGAGTTATAACAATTCTTTTGCATTCGCTTCTTTTAATGCGAACTTGGCTAATTTTGATGACAGACGTCCTGGACCGTACTGTTTCAAAATTAACGGACAAATTTATTATCAGATTAATACGAGTTTATACCCTTCTGCGAATGAAAGCCCTTCCTATGGTCAGCTTTTTATTGTTGATCCAAATGAAGCAACTGATGTTCGATGCAATCAAATGTCAACCTTGAATACAGCACTTGTGGCTGCAATCGACAGGGCACTTCGTGAATGCAATGCATTTGCAAAATCATATCAGATGATGCACGAAGAATTACTGCTATCTAAGATCAATTGAAGGCAATCAGGTGTGGAACCAGAGATGCAATTGTTATTTTCTTTAAAGCCCGGTATGGATAGTAGACGATATAATATTCAAAAAATCAACGAAGTGGCAGCCATCTTTACTACAACTGCTGACGGTGGGATTCCCGAATCTTACGTTTCAATATGGGATAAAACAACGAAGGAACTTAGGTATGTTAGCACCATGGATTCCAATGTCGAACCGTGGATTTATCCACTGTTCTACCCCAATGGAACTCAAGGATGGCATGATAAGATCAGATTGACTAATAAACCTGGACGAGTTACACGTAATGCTTATACTAAGTACAGAATGGCAAATCGGGACGACAATGTAATTCTCAAAGGAGGAAGATTATTCCAACAATGGATTGTTGACAGCTACGTGAAAATCGAAAAAGATCGTTTAACATTTGATAGGAACAATCAAACAAAACTTCGTTCTGACACCTATCAAGGTCTGAAAGATCATTTACAGAGAAGAGCTGATGAAGCTAATGGTCGCGTAGGGAAAATGGTAATTCTTCCGTCATCATTTGTTGGTTCTCCACGAAACATGATACAACATTATCAAGATTCAATGGCGATCGTGAGAAAATTTGGAAAACCAGATTTGTTTATTACTATGACGTGTAACCCGAACTGGCGGGAAATACTTGAAAATTTGTTACCTGGTCAAACGCCATCTGATCGACCTGATATAGTTTCACGTGTTTTTCAGAGGAAAAAGGATGAACTAATTAAAAAGACCAAAGGATAAATTATTCGGTGAAGTACTTGCATACGTATATGTCGTTGAATATCAGAAGCGAGGGTTACCTCACGTCCACTTATTGTTGACGTTGAAACAGAAAAAAAATTTACACCAGTGTAGACAATGTGAAAAACTGTGATAATGGAGATATTTCAGATGCAATTCTTCCAGAGTATTTAAATACATTGAATCCACCGGGCTTCCCTCCACATGAGTTGAAACTGCGAAACAATTGTATTGTTATGCTTCTTCGAAATCTCAGTATTAATGAAGGATTGTGTAATGGAACGCGATTACAACTATTAGAACTCGCAAATAATCTACTTCGATGTCGGATATTAACGGGCGACAAATCGGGAGAAATCGTTTTTATCCATCGTATCACTCTCTATTGTGAAGATATTTATCCTTTCACTTTCCAACGTAGACAATTTCCTATCAAACTCGCATTTGCAATGACCATCAATAAGAGTCAAGGACAAACATTCAATACAATTGGACTAGATCTTCGTAAAGATGTGTTCAATCATGGTCAATTGTATGTTGCATTCTCACCTGTCCGATCGTGGGAGTCACTCCGACTTTTCCTTGGTGAACAACGAAATCACAATATTGTGAAAAACTACGTCTTTACGGAGCTATATTGCTGAATTTATGTGGAAATTTCAATTTTGTTTCAATTTGCATACGTCTGAAAGTATTCTTTGATGTCGAATAACAAGTCAATCGGCCTCATTCCATTACAAAGTAGTAACTCACTCATAGATTATTCATATAATTTTTTTCATAATTAAAATGGTTCATTGAAAATCGTTTCATACCCGCGCGCGGTGGCGCGCGGTACGGTCTCGTCATGGAATAACTGTCGAGTGTCAACCATCAACGATTTCACACAGGCTTCTCTATCCGAAGCTCAACGATTTCCTTCGGTTAAGGGATACCAGAGCGTACTTCCTGCCCGAAATCAATAGACCCTAGACCCCTTAAACAATCCATAAAAAAAAAACAAAATTGGCATCCACAGGAATTTCAACAATATCCGCGAGTAATGTTGACTAATAATTTCGAACCATCTAATTTGTTAAACTCGTCAGTCTAATGCCCGTTTACCACCCCATAAGCTATAGGCCTCGAACACCCGCATCTCCTCTCGGTGTCTACTGCAAATTTCGGAATAGCGCGGAATATCGACGGGATTTTGAATTCCATTTTTTTTTATCTTCGTGCCTTCCAAACCAGTTCTCAAGTGTTCGTTGAACGTGCCACAGTTCGGTCACACCTGCGGCGGATATGAGCAAGAGATCTTCTTTCATTGGCAGTTGGTATTGCAGACTTAATAATAGGTAGTGTGGAGATAATGAGTTGAAGATATTCCCCTGTTGCAGCTGGTGTGGGATTGTAAATTGTCATTTTTAATTCTAATTAATATCTGCTAAACGACATTTAGTGGATGAGCGCATCACGGCGAAAGCAAACGATTTGTCGCATTTGCCACCTTTTAGTTCACAGCTAATTCACGAATACCGGGATCCCTTCTTGTTTGGTGGCAAGTGAGTACTGACCCGTATCACACACCCTTGCAAAGGACACTCTGAGAACACCAATACTTTTGCGTTGATTTGTTTCTTTCTTTTGGAATTCAAGGTATCAGTGGTTGAGCGTGGTGGCCAAAAATGATTATTTTGTTAATTATTTTTCTTGAATAAAATTTAAATAGTGGGCGGACGTAATTCTCATATACCAAACGATTAGTTTATTGACCCACGGGTAAAGCTTTATGCAGGTTATTGAGCGAAATTTTATTCTCTCCGTGGCTTAAATATTTCAATAATATTCAAGTTACTTCTTGAATATTTTGAAGAAATGCAACCTGATACAGAATTGAATCGAATATTCTCACCCTCGAATCTTTTTGTTCTAAAATTGCTGTGAATGTCTCGTAAAATAGCAATTTTTTTTACAGTAAATTTATCTTAGGTTCGTATTGTTTGGTGTTCCCCTTATAGAAAAATCACGTTATCGAATCGACTGTTCGTGGTAGAATTTTGTTTTGAGTCACTCGATTGATCTTTTTGTTCTAAAATTGCTGTGAATGTCTCGTAAAATAACAATTTTTTTTACAGTAAATTTATCTTAGGTTCGTATTGTTTGGTGTTCCCCTTATAGAAAAATTACGTTATCGAATCGACTGTTCGTGGTAGAATTTTGTTTCGAGTCACTCGATTGATTCCCACTCATTTAACCGTTTAAGATGAATATCGAAAATATGTATAGAGCCAGCCTCTCGAGATGATCATCGGGTGGGAGAAACGTCTTTGACCTCAAAGAGTAAGTTCAATTCCAACTTTAATACTGATTAATAGTTTCTGACTGTTCGGAGTGGGATCTGGTTCCGGGAATAATCTTAGGCGATGGACGAGATGAAAATGGATTATTTTTCAGGAGGATTTTGAAGGGGTCAAGATACTTTTTACTCGCTTGGAGTTGGTCAAAATCAAAAAGAGTCCATTTATTAAACGATGTCTTCTCGTGAGTCACTGCGATGAACAAAATTGTTGAAAAAACTTAATTAAGAGCTGAACTAGATTTAGAGACCGAAACAAAAAATTAATGAGAAGGTCAAATAACTGAGAGACGAGCAAAGAACGAAAAAGCAAACTGCGATAATCTGATACGTGCGAACTTCCGTACAATGATAAGAGCGATTGTTGGGCCAGAAGGAGGCAGATGCCCTTAATTACCCCACATCAGGTAAATTGGCGCGCGCCGATGAGTATTATCCGGTTAGTGGCGCCTTCGGTGTGAAGGGCGAAAGGCCGTAGTTCATGCGAATGAATCGATGAAGACGTTTGAATCAGGGGAGAGTGAGAGAGCATGACAGGCGTGATTTCTGTTGAGTGTTTGTGGTCATGTGAGTGTGGGAGTGTGAGAAAAACTTCGATTGAAATCCGAACACTGACGATTAAATCTATCAATTTATTCATCCTCAGACAGGATCTTTTTTTATAAGAGGATTTTAGAATAAAATTTTAAGATACCACCCAGCACAGCTTGGGTCAAGAGCTGCCGGGGCCCAAGAAAATACTCATTGTGTTAATTAATTATTGTTGAGCGCAGCTCAACTTGGATGAGGTTGGCTACTCAAATTTTTAACTAATTTCATTAGAACATTAGACTCGAGCAGGGTTGATTCGAA